CTCTCTCTCTCTCTCTCTCTCTCTCTCTCTCTCTCTCTCTCTCTCTCTCTCTCTCTCTCTCTCTCTCTCTCTCTCTCTCTCTCTCTCTCTCTCTCTCTCTCTCTCTCTCTTTCTTCTCTCTCTTGTGAAATTTTTGGTTTTGCTAACTCTCTCTCCCTCATTTTAAACTTGTTGTGATGACAAAACATGGAATGATTTGTCTTCATGAGTGTATGTGGATATTGATCCACAGAAGCTTCAAGACTTACTGCTGATTAAGGATGTGATTGATGGTTGTTTGGTTCTGATCTTTTTAGCTTTCGAGTTTAATCACTATTGTGATTGATGGTTGTTTTGATCTTTTGACATGATGATAATTTTGTTCTTGTAACTTCTAAGTGTAATGACATAAAGACTTTATAAGAACTGTCGCCATGGTTATATTTAAAAAAATTGGTTTAAATTTCTTTTCATCTTAGGACTTGTGCGTTTGTTGGGGAAATTCATAAGATTTTGACTTAATGGGTATTTGGTGTATGAGAGTCTCTGCTTTATAATATATTGAAAGTATGAAACTTTAAGCTCTTAATGATCATTAGTATTGTTTCCTTTCCAAATTTTGATTCTTTCAATGAATTCAGTCAAGTGTTTGCAAGGGAACCCATGTGTTAAAGCTCGTTGGTGTGTTACACCAAAAGATCCCTGCGCACATAAAGTCGTATTTGTATCTAGCTAACTATTGTTTTGAGTTTAATGCTGTAAGACTTTATAAGAGTTGTCGCCATAGTTATATCTATTTAATAGTGGTTTGAAGTTTCTTTTCATATTAACACATTCACATTGTATCTTTAGTACTAACCAATTCAACATAGGCGATCTCAAAGTTCCAAACCCAATACATTGTGGTAGCTTATGTACGTGTTTACTTAAACAAACATAAATCAGTGATCATAATATTCTCTTCTTTCTCTGGTCTGTGGTGATTCAGTTTTATTCTCTCTGCCTTGACTTCATTCCTTTGTTTTAAAGTTACTTTCATTGACTTCATGTTATGATTTCTCTTTGTTTAGTGATTTGTACATGTGATTTTTCAGAATAGTAAGCTCCTTAAGGTGACTCTTTGATACAAGCCTAAGCTATCAAAGGCTGTAGGATCCCAAGCAAGAGAGAGAAAGAGCCGATCTGCACAAGGGATGGATCAAAGGACTGATCTAATCAGACAAGGAATTCGGATGAAGGTAACTTGATGGATCGAAGTACACCACACGAGGAATGGATGATCTCGTGATACAACACAAGGTTTCTCAAGGCCGTGGAGGTACTGGTCTCACAAGGCAGATAGAATGGAGGCGAGTTCTTGCTTGAGAGCTCTAGGGTTTTCTTTAGAAGAAAGTTTATGTTTATTCTGAATACTACCCAAGAAAGGGGCTTGCGAAACATATAAATAAGAAACTAAAGGAACATGCTCCTTTAGGTCAAGTAAATTAGAACTATAGTCTAAAATTAAAACATAAGGGAAATGACATAAGTCTTCATAGCCTTGGACCGAGATAGCATCTAGGAGATGTGCAAAGCAGGTTGTGTCCTCGTTAAAAACCTTCCTCCGTAAAACCCATCAGGACAAAACCAAGAGCAAGGAAAAGAGCACACACAAAGAGCTTGGCCTAGTTACTTGAACAATCCAAGAGTCTTGCTAGGCAAGTTGATCTTCTATGGTAATGATCATCAGGTTGCTGTAGCCTTGGTTCAGAATGAATGGCCATAGGTCTTCACTTGGTGCCTTGATGTGTTCAGCCGGTCCATCACTCTTCAAGCTTAATTCTCCCATCTTCAAGGCACCTATCTTGGTGTTATCTTCAGCAACTTCTTTAGTAGGATTAACCTGTCCAAGATCAGAAACAAGTATCATGCTCTCATTAAACTTATGTTAAAGTATCTTAGCTCTTTGTCTGGTAATAGCTCCCTTGAATACGGTTGGTACTGACACTTCTTGAACTGTCTCTGGTTTAGTTATCTTGCTGATCATGTCTTATCAGGTTCAGTTAGGTCTGGTTCAAGCTCTGGTTGAATGCCTCATCACTCTTCCTCTGTCATCTATGACATAGACTGACACAAATGGTTGGTTATCACGGACATTCCTCTGATAAATTCATCACCGGATGAAGAAGCAAACAATTCTCAACGATTGACATTTCAAGTACAAACACAAACTATTAAATAACAAAAACATAGAGTAAAAACTCTATAACTAATAATATTTGCGTTTTGAATTTTTGTTAATTTATAGAGATTAATTTACAAAAAAAAATTTCCTTTTTTAGATTTCTCTATTTTTAGAATATATCTTTTTATAAAAAATGATTTTGTCGCATATATATATATATATATATATATTAATTAAACATTAGAAATTCGACTTTTATATCGTTTTGTTATACTATTTGGTGTACATGAAATATGTATCATAGAGTTCAAATGTAGCTTTAGATATATAGTTTAACTAAACTAGATTTTGACCCGCGCAACCGCGCGGGTGTTTGTTTTCGTTTATACTTAGTTATATAAATATTTTGTTTTCACTTGTAAATTGATATATATTATAGTAATCAAATATTTACGATATGCATAATAAATCTTTTTCAAACATAATAATACTATATAATAAGTGTTTTAATCAAATAAATTGTTTCAAATTTTCTATATTATACATGTTTTTCAAACATGTGTTTGTTTCTTCTTCTATATTTTATTGTTTGTTAGATTAGTATTTCATTTTTAGATAAAGTAATATAAATAGAGCTTATTAAATATTAGTATACTTTAATTTGCAAAGATAATATAAATTTCGAAGAATTTTTTGCTAAAAACTAAACTTATAGCTTCATAAATTAATATTATAAAGAATTTTTTAAACAATTTATTTTTTTTAAACAATATAATTTTCAAAATTTACATCAAAATAAATTTATCTAATATATATAGCGTGTAAATTTTGTTTGGGTATATAAATATTCTATATTACTAATCTGTGATTTTTGTTAATATATTGTGGATGTATTTAACTATTATTGACATATTTCCTTATAAATAATAGAAGATTCCTAAACTTATATTTATTGACATATTTTACGTCACTAAGTTGGAAGGTGTGGGGGTAATTTACCAAAATCAAATTGTTAAGCATATCTTTGTTATTATAGATATGATTTTTTATAAGATATAATGATGATAAGGTTATTAGAGACTTAATGTAACATAACTTTCTAGTAATAGTCCATTTTTAAAAAAATCACACATGAAGTCAAGTCATGACTTCTGTTTTAATATATAAGATTACTTAAAAAGTATAATTTATGTTATTTAAAAATATATTTAAGTTAAATATTACTATTTTGTAAACTTTCTTTTTTTATGAAACCATATTATATATATACTTATTTTTCGTTTTTAAATAGTTTGTAAATTTTAGAAATATTTCCTTTTTGTTTTATATTGTTATTTGGAAGATTTTAAAAAGGAAATAATAATATTTAAATATATTTTTAATTCATTAGGGGTATCATAGTAATCAATCAGTGTGAGAGTTAACGTGAGCGCGACACCTAAGAAAGTGACTTCTCAAATAATATTATAGAGATATTATCAAAATATATTGAAGAGTTAAGAAAAATAGAAATGAACTTCATTGTGAATGTAAATATATATATATCAGTTATTAATTTATGATTTTAGTGGAACTATATAATACATAAATTTTTTTAAAAAAATTATTCTCTTATTATTTTATCGATATGTGTCAGCTTGAGCCGACCTAATTCGGAACCAAAGAAATTTATTAATTTAGTGTATAAATTATGAGTATTAATTTATAGACTTTTTTACTTTATTTATAATTGGTTTTTAACCAAATGTGTATTGAGTAAAAGAGATTAAGCCATCTAAGTTCCTAGATTTTCAATAAAACTATTGAAAATTTAAACTTCTGTATGCGACATTTGTCTATGTAACAGAGATTAAATTATTGTCAGACCTTTCAAGTTATGTTTGGTTCTTGAGAGGTGCTTGTAGAAACAGAGGAAAGCTTATCCTCTGTTTTTTTCTGGCTCCTCTGTTTCGAGAACTGTGTTTTCTCTGATGTAGCCACTTCATCTCTAGAAGATACTTCAACATCTCGGTTTGCCTAATTATGATCGTTACAAAGCTCAGAATCATCAGGCTCACGCTGTCTGTCTTCAAAGGACTCTGTTCCTAAAGTATTTGACTTCACCAAATCCTCTGGCAAGTTTGAATTTGATTTACACCTCACAGACTTCTCCTGGACCAACACAACTTCATCAACACATATATCCTTTAGATAAGTTTTCTCCTTATAGCAAACTACAATCTCTGGCAAGTCACACACTGGATCAACTTTAGAATCTCTTATATCAACAATATCATGACTATTGAGTTTCTTTCCAGTCTGATTAGAAGGTATTTCCTCGACATATTTCACCAAAGCGGCTTTGATCTAAGTATCTAACCCCATAACAAATTGGTGCATCTTCCCCTCTTGTCACTCTTACTCAAGCTCTACAATTGCAGTACACGTACAAGCAGAGAGTGGCTTATACATATTAAGTTCTCACGTAAACAAGAAAAATTAAGTCTCGGAAGTTTTCCATTTTAATACCATGTAGAGGTGAAACTTGTGTTTTGAGAATACTTTCTTATTGATCTTGTTTGCACAATACGTGAGAGTCTCACGAAAACCCTAGAGGAATTTAGGAAAATATCCTAAATAGATCTGGACATAATACAACATAATTGGTAATTATCCTATTATCCTAATAAAGATAACGAAACGAACGAACCACATATGGATTCATATTTACGAATGAGCTACATTTTTCCAATCACTTTTCACATGCATTTACAATTCGAGCATCTATATATGTTTATTAGGAAGCAATTGCTATAGCCAATGGGTTATTGTTGTGCGATGATAAGCTTTTGCGGGCCTTGTAGAGTTGTACCATCTATATATGTTCATGAATTTTGTTCCATCTCATCTTCAGTCATGAAGAGCTCTCTTAACAAGATAATTTGAGGAACAAATTAAAAAAAGAAGAAGATAATTTGAGGATGTCTTGAAGAATTCCAAAAAATTCTTTGACTGAGTCTCGTCTGTTGATGGCTTGGATGATCATGTGAGCGTCTGAGTTAAGAGAAATGTTGATGAGCCATTGATCATGAGCTTGGATCATGGCTTCACGAAGTGCCCAAAAGAGTCATAGTACTGTTTGCGTGGCCGCTCTCCAAGCTGCGTCTGTGCATGTGGATTGTGATGATCTCAGGCTGAGCCTCATATGCGGGATGATCTGTTCCGCTTGTGCTTCCTGCCATTCTCACGCATCTGTTAGAGCTTTTAGTAATAGTGTCCGCGCGCCGGTGAAAATTCTCTTTCGATTCATTATCATCGCTAGAACTGTGCTGACTGGATTAGGCTTAGCATGGGCCTAGGCTGGAATTGTTTTCGCTATATTGCTTTAATTCTTAATCACTAGAAACAGATCGATGGAAAGTAAGTCAGTCACGGCCGGTCGGTAGTTTATCGGACATGGTCGGCCCTCAGATTTTTGGACTACTATATAACATTATTCGGCATCAGCGTACTTTATTATTATTTTTGTTTTTCTGTCAATAATAGTCATTGTTGAAGATTAGTACGTATGCCATTTTATTTGTTATATTGTTGATTGATTTTTTAAAAAGCTTGAGCATGTATATGTAAAGACTTCATAATCAACTTGATGCAAGTTGAATATGATTTATATATATATATATCCAGTTCTATGCAAGACAAATTAAATAATAAAAGGGCAAATCGAAAAGAACCTTGAGATATCGTTTCTGATCATCATATACTCCTTTATTGAATTTTGATGAGCTTGTTGAGATCGACAAAAAAAAAAAGAATCAGTTGTGGAAGAAGCATGACTTGCTAACATTGGCAAAAGAAACGTTTTTAAGACTGAAAACATGGTTGAAGTTAGATAAATTTGGCAACGTATGTTTCATGTCCAATATAAAAGAAAAACGTTTTTCAAGTAAATTTTATGATGGGTAGATATGAAAGAAAAACTTGTTGATATTAAATCCGATGTATATATTAAAGTTAGGTTCAGTTGGTTTCCTACTAACATTCGTGAAAGTCTATAAACATTGTTTTACCGATGATTATGTTTCTGTTTTACCATGTTTTATTTGTTATTATCAGTTTTTCGTCTTGACCAACTATAGTTTTATCTGGATGACTTAGGCATGGTCCTATTAAAAACAGTCAATGCATCTATTTTATAAACGTATCAATGTACCAACCTATCTTGATTTTCGCGCGGATTCACATAACCTTTGCTTTGGTGTTTAATAAAGAAAGATACTTAGCGTGTACATAATGGACAGCTTTTCACAAAAGAGCTTTGAATTACGTCATAACTTTTGGTTCACATGAACTTATTTTAAAATTTACTTCGCTATATACACTACAATCGCTATTTTCCAGAAAGATTTGTAATCGCATGATCATTACAGATTCAAGAACTAGTAGAATTTAATGTGTAACAAGATACTTATTACCTAAATTGGAAATGTTTTTATAATTTGATCGAAAACACTTTTCTTCGTCCATACCCTACCAAAAAGAATATCTTGATCGAATGGCTACATTAATGTAGAGTGTTATTCAAGGAAACTTCGGCAAGATTATCGTAATCCCACAAATTCTGTTCACACATTATATTATCTAAAATAATACTCCATATTATATTTTTGCAGCTTTGATTATCCATTTCCCAGTGTCTTCCTTATAGAAGCAAAGAACAAAGGAATTCCTTCAAACCAAATATCCCAAATTACAAATACTTCAACATGTTAGGATTTAGTTTGTTTTTTAATTTCTTCTATTGTCTATATATTTCTTAACTTTCTCATTCAAGATTCAATGGAAGATCTTAACACATTTGCAGCTGACTGCATCGTTGTATCATGTTGTTGCAACTGTCTTTTTCTACAAATCGCGATCTTCATCTTCCTTGGACTTCCTCAAAAACTGATCAAGAACACAAGAAAATGTTACAGAGAATGGGGCATAAAAGGAAGAACAAAAAGAATGGGGATCGATTGTGAACGTCGAGGAAACTCCGCGGTTGATTGGGGATGGAGTAAAGAGACTATGAGTATAGAGATGGAGGACTTTGGATGTATTGGAGAAGTTGAAGAGGCTTTAGAGGAGTTTTCAAAGAATGGTGAGTTTTTGTTTGGAAGCTTCTGGGGAACAGAGAGGGTTCAAAATTCTTTGTCTATGTCTAGTTATGTTGATGACAACTTTGACTTAAGATTTGTTAGTCGTTATGAGATAGTCGAAGAAAATACTCCTTGGATTATATGTTAACAACAACTTCACATATTGAAATTAGTTGAAATAAAAATATTTTCTAGGGTTTTGTTGTTTCAGTATATTTTTGATTCTACTGTTAACAAATGATATGTTTTGTGAAAATTTATAATATACTAGATCCTTTTCCCAGGCTACTCCTGGGTTATTTTGTAGGAGAAAAAACTCATTTGTTATGTCATTATGTATTTTTTAGAAAAAGTGTTGATTAAAAATGTTGGAAACCCGAGATGCTAAGATATATTAGAAGGTACTTTATACATAATATCTTTTAATAACTTCGAAAAATGTTCAGCCAAAGAACTTGTATTGAATAAAGCAGGTAGTAAGTAATGTTTGATGCATAATGAAATAGAAGTGTTTGTGAAATAATGTTTAGAAGTAGATGAAAGTTTTCATAATCTTGAAGAACAAAATTATAAAGTCTTAAACAACATGAAAATATTAATGATAGGGAAGCATGTGGTACTCTCAAGGCAGAGGATGTAGATTGGGTGGGATTTTTTTGAACTGGGGCCTGAAAATTAATTAAAATAAGTTAGTGAGTAGTTAATATTAATAGAAATATGTTTATTTATTTCATAATATATGTATAGGTACCTAGAGGTGAGAAGATTTCCATCATCACGGTAGCATTTTTGCTTCCAAATTTTTGTGTTATCAGCTAGAGCACTGTGGAGACAATTGTGATTTTCAGCTAAATAACCCTTTAATTTTTTTTTTAGTTTTGCGCCTAAGTATAAATTTTTACTTACTTTCATTGGAAGGAAGCCGGTTGAAGATCTCTTTGTAGACTATTTTTTTCACTTTCTGAGGGTGCGAATCATGGCCCTTAATGATTTTTAGTCCTGCTTTGCTTGTCACGCGTGAGAGAGCCACATATAGTTGACCATGGGCGAAGACCGGATTAGGTAGATATAAGAGAACTTCTTTCAAACTTTGACCCTGGCTTTTGTTGACTGTCATTGCGTAACACAATCTGATGGAGAACTGTCGCTGATGCAAAGTGAACGGTAGCTTTGTTTCATCATGCAATAAAACTATCCGGGTATGGTTACATACCGTAGTAATCGCATTTCTCGCAGCCACCTGTACGATAAAACTTGAGACTCAGCTTGTGTTATGCATAAGTAATGATATCAATAAGGTAATGCAAACCATTAAACTTACAGTCATAGAACTTTGGCTTGAATGTTGGCGGATCATTAATCATAAGAGCTGTGAATAGATATAACTTTCTTACTATTAAAGGATCAATTTAAAACTCAGTTGGATAAGTCTGAGGCTAAGAACACACCTTTTGGTTTGTTACGCGACCCATGTGGGCGGCCTCGTTTTCTCTTATGCGTGTGTCCGCCTGAAATTTGGGAATGGGAAAATGTTCAAATTGTTCTTTTTCCAATCTATAGGAAAAGTGTAATAGTAAACTTCATGTTTTTCCTTACATATATCTTTTCTACTATTGCATTATGAGAAAATATTTTAACATCTTCGTTATTGAAAATGTAGATGTTTATTGTTTTAATGTTTATGTGTATATTATAGATTTGTTCATATTTTACTTTGTTAACAACTAAATATGTATTCAGTTTGAAGTTATTTTTAAAACAAACAAATTTATAATGCTTATATATACATAATTCATACGTAATTAAACTATTACAATAAAGTATATATAACATAATTAAATATTAACTATTTTATAAAGTACAAATTAAATTAATCACATATGCATTCTAACATATATTTAAACATTTTGGAACTTATTTATGTTTACTTTGGGAAAATTTTAAAATTAAATGAAAATACTAATAAATATGACATAATAGCTAAATTATCATAGTAACATATATTTCAGTTTATTTTTGTTTGAAATTAAAAATTTATAATCATTACTTGCATATTAACAAATTTAGGGAGTATACGATAGACCACATAGAATTAAAGCACAGCTACGCACATATTTTATATTTTAATAGTTTATTTATTTAAAAATGTTTTGAACTATTATGTTCATTGACTTGTCTGAGTTTATATTTAAGTAATAAACTCTATCTAATTTTTTTTACTAATAAAATACATGAAAAAATATCAATTAAATATTGTTAAGTTTTTTTGACTCTTAAATTGTTTTATTATCCAATCTCTTATCTAAATTACTTATTAAAAATTTAATACACTTAATTTTAAAACTGTAGACATTCTAATATCCAAATTAGTTATAAGTTGGAATGAAAATTATAGAAATCGTCAAAATGGATCACAGATAAAATCTCAAGTTTTCAATTTTTATTTTTAGGATTAAAGTATGTAAACTGAGGATAATATTTAAAATTACAATATTAGTTGTACGTTACATTTAAATTTGAAGTACAATGAAGTACAAAAGTCCTTCTGTTTGTTTTGGTAAATTAATATGTACGTTAAGTAATAAAATATCTAAGTCTTAACATTATTATTTTACTGAGGTTCTACTATATATATATATATTTTATAAACAAATATATTGACATATTTACAATTTATTTTTTCTATGATTTCTTTGTTAGTAATTATAAGTTCTGCAAACTTTGGTAGTTCTATTGTTTGGTCATGGAGTAATGATGATGATCATTTTGGACTGTATATGTAAAAGCATTTACTTTATCTTCTTTTTATTTTGTAACTTAACATTGACCGAAAACAAACCGGATTTTGGTAGATTAAACCGAAATCGAAATCGGGTTTCGCATGCCCAAACCAAACATGACGTGGCTGTTTAAAGTCCTATTATTGGCCAAATATATTTGGTGATGTGGACATAGTGAGAGGGCTTTATTTGCCTCTTTTAATAGTGTATTTTATATTTTAATAGTTTATTTATTTAAAACTGTTTTGTACTATTATGTTCATTGACTTGTCTGAGTTATATTTAAGTAATAAACTCTATCAAAATTTTTTTACTAATAAAATACATGAAAATACATCAATTAAATATTGTTAAGTTTTTTTGATCTTAAATTGTTTTATTATCCAATCTCTTATCTAAATTACTTTTTAAATAATTTTAATACACTTAAATTTAAAGCTGTAGAAATTCTAATATCCAAATTAGTTATAAGTTGGAATGAAAATTATAGAAATCGTTATAATGGATCACAGATAAAATCTTAAGTTTTCAATTTTTATTTTTAGGATTAAAGTATGTAAACTGAGGATAATATTTAAAATTACAGTATTAGTAGTACGTTACATTTAAATTTGAAGTACAATGAAGTACAAAAGTCCTTCTGTTTGGTTTTTTGTTTTTTTGGTAAATTAATATGTACGTTAAGTATTAAAATATCTAAGTCTTAACATTATTATTTTACTGAGGTTCTACTATATATATATATTTTATAAACAAATATATTAACATATTTACGATTTATTTTTTTTCCATGATTTCTTTGTTAGTAATTATAAGTTCTGAAAACTTTGGTAGTTCTATTGTTTGGTCAAGGAGTAATGATGATGATCGTTTTGGACTGTATATATAAAAGCATTTACTTTATCTTCTTTTTATTTTGTAACTTAACATTGACCAAAAACAAACCGGGTTTTAGTAGATTAAACCGAAATCGAAATTGGGTTTCGCATGCCCAAACCAAACATGACGTGGCTGTTTAAAGCCCTATTATTGGCCAAATATATTTGGTGATGTGGACATGGTGAGAGGGCTTTATTTTCCCCTTTTAATAGTGTACTAGGTGACCGGTCCGCACCCTGTGCGGGTATATACAGATTCAAATTATGGACTTAATAATACAAAGTTTTAGAAGTAATAGATTTTATATCATAAGACCATCGTCTTTGAGGTAAAGCATCAGACACAGAAAAATGCTGGTACACAATATTTTACATGGAGGAGATGGAACAAAGTAACTTTAGTATCATTAGATAGTTATTGTGTGTATTTATAATTGCAACATCACAAAAAAATTTGTGTGTTGAAGGTTGAATTTTATTTTCCAAATCTGAAATTAGTAGTGTGTAGTTTTATAAGTAACATATTTTCTATTATCACTAATTAGAATTGTATTATATATGTGTTGTAATTCTTTATTTTAGGTGAAAAATATTATTATACATAAATTTTTCGTAAAATGTATGTAGACCGATTAAAAGAAATGTTACACATCTCTCTCTCTCTCTCTCTCTCTCTCTCTCTCTCTCTCTCTCTCTCTCTCTCTCTGAATTTATTGCGTTAACATAAATCATTCTTAAATATTACCAATCAATCTTGTGAATTAAATTTATACAATACTCCCTCTATTTTTAAAAAATTGATGTTTTAGACTTTTCACATATATTAAGAAAACTGTGTTTTTTTTGAATAAAATTTTTCCATAGCTTTTAGCCAATATAAATTCAATAAACACCATTAATTTTTTTTGAAACGTACAATTTTTCATTAAATTATACATTGAAAAAGTAAAAAAATCAATCTTTTTGAAATTTGATTTTTTCCAGAACATCAATCAATTAGGAACGGAGGGAGTATATGTTACGTGATGTTGTAATCATCATTAATTGGTAATCATTAATGTGATAAATGTGGACATATTTTTCATTCAAGGCAAGTTGTGAGAATTAAATAATAAACAAATAATAATATAATTGTTAAATGACGATAATAATAACTATAAAAATGACCTTATTATATATTGAGATCTGAAAAATTAATCCAATAAAAATATAACTACAAAAACAATAACGAATACATTGACTAAATAATAACATGTCATTAGAACGAAAATTAGATACTTTCATCTCTTCCAACAAATTATTACTAAAACATGAGTGTTATTACAATGCAATTATTTTAAAAATTGTCGTGAGCACAAGAAAAGACTCAATGTGTTTTTCTTTGAAATAAATAATAATGAATAACACGGGTAGTTACAAAAGATTAAATGTGTTGTTCCTGGAAAATATTCACAAATAAATATTTTTAAAAAAATTCGAGATCACTCGCCCTTGATTTTTTTTGTGGGAAAATGTTTTTTGTTGACAGAATGTTGATCCTCCAAGGTTACTGTCATGATCTTCTTGGTTTTTTCTCTTAGAAAAATGAGTTCCTGAAAAATCACCACCAAAGGAAATATCACCTAAGGACTGCAACATCATGACCTGCAAGAGAAATAG